GAAGCATAGATCGGTTAAAAGCCCGACTGGTTGCAAAAGGATATACCCAGTCATACGGAATTGACTACCAAGAGACATTTGCCCCAGTAGCCAAACTAAACTCCATTAGAATCCTACTCTCTATTGCAACAAACCGAGACTGGCCCCTTATGCAACTTGATGTCAAAAATGCTTTCCTTAATGGAGATCTTGAAGAAGATGTATGCATGGATTTATCGCTTGGTCTTGAAGGGTCCTTCCCTAGTGGCAAAATATGCAAGCTCCAAAAACCTCTGTATGGTCTCAAACAATCTCCCCGTGCTTGGTTTGCCAGATTCACCAATTCAGTAATTAAGTGCGGTTATGCTCAAAGCCAGGCTGATCATATGATGTTCACAAAAAGATCCGAGAAGAAGATTGCTGTACTTATTGTGTATGTTGATGACATCATTCTTACCGGTGATCACACTGAAGAATTGACAAAGCTGAAGAAGTTTCTAGCCCATGAATTCGAAATCAAGGACCTCGGAGACTTGAAGTTCTTCTTGGGAATGGAAGTTGCAAGATCCAAAATGGGGATAGCCGTAACTCAAAGGAAGTATACATTGGACCTATTGAAAGAAACTGGTATGCTTGGATGCAAACCAATAGATACTCCAATAGATCCATATAAAAAGATTGGAATAATTGGAATGAAGAATGATAGTTTACTTGTCGACAAAGGACGATATCAGCGGCTTGTTGGAAGACTTATTTACTTATCTCACACCAGACCAGACATAAGTTTTTCAGTAAGTATAGTAAGTCAATTCATGAACTGTCCTACTGAGGAACATATGGGAGCTGCCAACCATATCTTAAGATACTTAAAGATGACATCTGAGAAATAATTATTATTCAAAAGGATTGATAGTCAAAAGGTAGAAGTCTTTACTGATGCTGATTGGGCAGGAGATATATCCTCCCTACGATCAACCTCTGGGTATTGCTCGTATGTATGCGGCAATCTAGTGACATGGAGAAGTAAGAAGCAATCGGTGGTATCTCGAAGTAGCGCAGAAGCAGAATACAGAGCACTGACGCTTGATATCTGTGAAGGAATGTGGATCAAAAGATTTCTCAAAGAGCTTGAAATTATGAGGAAAATTCTATCAAGATGTTCTATCAAGATGTTCTGTGACAATCAAGCTTCAATCAGTATCGCAAAGAATCCTGTTCATCATGATCGAACGAAACACATTGAGATTGATCGGAACTTCATTTCAGAGAAGGTGGACAATGAAATCATTGAATTGATCTATATTTCTTCTAGAGATTAAACCACAGACATTCTCACTAAGGCTCTCCCTAAGTCCAGTTTTGATGAGCTAACCAACAAGTTGGGCATGTACAATCTGTACAACCTATCTTGAGGGGGAGTGTGGAATTACACTCATTATTATTTACTTTAATTCTATTTAGTACTTGCTATATTTAGTCATAGTATAAAAAGAGTAATTCCTTAATTATAGGTATTTATGTTTAATCAATAATTATAGGAATTACTGAATTGTAGGAAGATTTCTTTCCTCGTTTTATCTCTTGTACACGCCTATTTATAGGTGAATTATCTATGTATTCAGTGAGAAAAATGTTATTCAAAATTCACACATTTATTCAAAATTCACAATTCAAAATTCACACATTTCTTCACGACTCCTTGGATGAAACCATTCATATGCGTCAACCTCAAGGCTTCCAAGGCTTCCAACATTCGACCAAGGTATGTCTTCTTAAAAAAGCTATTTATGGTCTTAAACAAACACAAAGGAAACAATACTTAACTATTATCAGACACTTGATCAGTCAAGGCTTTCATTTAAGCTCCGCCGATCCCTCCTTTTCTATCACCAAAACTGAATCGTCATTTAGAGGCTTTCATTTAAGCTCCGCCGATCCCTCCTCCTTTTCTATCACCAAAACTGAATCGTCATTTATTTTCTTGTCTACGTGGATGATATTCTCATAACAATCCCTCCACCATCACGAATCTCATTCAAACACTCAATTCCAAATTCTAACTGAAGGACCTTGGCCCCATTTCAACATTTCTCGGCACCAAACCTTCTACATCCACAACCTCCTTCAACAACTTGGAATGTCAAATTGTGAACCAATAAACACCCCGTTCCCCTTAAGCTTCATCCCGACCACAACAACAATCAAGAATTCCATAATCTCACTCAATATTGTCAACTAGCTGGATCCCTAAAATTCCTCACGATCACCCGACCCGACATTGCCTTCACTATCAACTATGTCCGTCAACAAGTGCACCTCCCCCTTATCTACCATTTTCAACTCATAAAGCGCCTACTACGTTATCCCAAGGGTACAATTAACTTCGGTCTTCCCATCATCAAAGATGATTTACAGCTCCGCACTTACTCCGACTCTGACTGGGCATGTGATTCCATGATCGCCGCTCCACCAACGACTTTTGTACCTTTCTCAGTAATAGTCTTATCTTATGAACTGTTCAAAATCAAAAGACAGCGGCACAGTCCTCCTCCAAAGTTGAATATTGAGCTCTCGTAGCGGCTACAACGGATGTTCTTTGGCTCAGACGGTTTCTATAAGAGTTTCACATACCTGCTGCCACTTTTACACCGATTTTCTGCGACAACACCTCGGCAATTTCTATCGCTCTAAATCCCATATTGCTTGAACGAAACATGTTGAGATTGCTACCACTTTATCTGGGATCACATCGTATAGTGCGCAGCTCAGATTCAACACATCAACTCCTCATATCAAGTTGCTGACATCTTCCCTGAGCGCAACTCCGAATCAGCCTTCCATGCACTTCTACACAAGCTCACTATCACTTCACTTAATAGTCAGCTCAAGGGGGATAACAGCCCTATACCCATAGGCAACAAAATGGGCATATGCGATTCCAGTTCTCTGCTAACCAACTGAGTTGGGGACTACTACTCTTCTCTAGAATTGTCTACTCGCATTATATATATGTATACTTTTTACTGTAATAGTAATCTCTCTAGCTGTAAGGATACATTTACCTTTCACCTGCTGTTATAGATAGTTTGATACTGATTATAGAGATTCAATACAGCAGCTTACATTCACTTACTATTAGTGTCTAACATGATTTACTGGTATAAAACTCAATTCACATGTATTTACACTTCTAACACCTATGCTTACATTTTTTACGCATATGCCGCCTTTTCTATACATGAACTATGTATTTCACTTTTCAAAAGTTAAAAGAAGTGGTTTTTTTTTTTTTTTTTTTTAATGTGAGATGAAAGATTTGGATGGTATAATTGAAAAAGTAAAAGTTTAGATGTTAGATATGTAAATACTTCAGAACTGGGTGGTATGTATGTAAACGCCCCTTAGTTTATTACTTTGTCTTGCTTTTCTCATGTACAGTTTTGAGAACAATCCTCGTTTGGAAGGGCCCGAGCTACTTGGTCTTGCATCCTACGACACAAACTGCTGAAGGCACAAGGGGCGATGTGCAAAACATGAATTACAACTTTTAAAAAAATGGTCCATCTTATAATACATAATCTTAGCTATAAATATATGTTTGTGAGCAACTGGAGGAACTGCATTTCCTTAATTTGTATGTAGATAGTAGGCTTATACACTGATATGTAATTTTGTGTTGAAGAAAACTAGCTAATTAGCTAACTACTTTGTTCTATTAATTATGGTGTTTGCTCGTGAAAATGAAGTATAATCTTGTTACTATGTCCACATGAGAAATTTAAATATTTGGATGGTGTTGATTGATAAAATGCTGATTTTATATGTAAATGTATTTCCTTTTTTATCACCAACACTCGACTTCATATGATAAACAAACTTTAATATTTACATTAGAATTATTGCTATCACATATTTTTTTAAAAAGTAAAATATATCTTTTCATGCCAATGATAAATATAAATATGAAAATTTAGTTGTTGGATGTATAAATACATAAGAATTATGTGGTATGATATGTAAGTTTGTTTCTCTTTATAAAATTATGTTAAACTTTTTAACACATCTCAATTGAATGATAGGCTTTTACAATGTATTTTTAAGTCACGTGATATCTTTAATTAATATCAGGTTTCAGGCATGTTTCAATTTAGTGATTTTTATATATCAATTGTTTTAAAATATTTCTAAAATTTTAAATATAATATTTTAATTACTTAAAATTTCAAATATAATAATTTATTCATTAAAAAAATTTTGAGTTTAGGAGGGTGATTGTAATGACAAATTAGTTAAAGGTTTTTTTTAAATTTTAAAATATTATAAATAAAATTTTGAGTTTAGGAGGGTGATTGTAATGACAAAATAGTTAAATGTTTTTTTTAAAATTTTAAAATATTATAAATATAATTGTTAAATTTAAAATATAATTAATATTAAATTAATATTAAAAATTAAAATTTAAGGGGTAATATTTTGTATAAAAATATATAATCTTTTTAGATAAAAATTAAATTATTCAAAATAACAGCTGAAATTTAATGTATTATTAAAGTTGATCGAGACATGAAAAATAAACTAGCATTGGTCGCGAACCACAACACAAGAGGGAGCACAAACCAAATATCTGGACTCTTATATATTTATTATTAATTAAATTTTCAGTTTCCATTGCTGTAGGTGCGCAATGACGTGGCTGCCACACTCCGCGTCCCGACCGCGTCGAGGGTAAAATCGTAACTTTAGCAACTAGCCCAGTGGTCCATCCCCTGCTTTTATGGAGCCCGCACCATGAGGGCAAAATCGTAACATTCGCACGACAATATCGTAAATTACGGAGTATATTGGAAGATTCACCTTTATTTATTTTTAAGGATTATTATACATCATATATGCATAATATTCCGAATATATGAATGGATAAAATTTAAATAGATGCTATTTTATTTTTCATCCATTTCGTTGCCCATGCTTTTGGCTTACTCACCGTTCGATTAATATCCAACGGTCGTAAGTAATTACGCTGCTGGTTTTTAAAAAGACAAAACCAAGAATGAGAAAATGGAATTTTGTAGGGGTATTTTTGTAAAAAAACAGTAATTAACTATTATTAAGAATCTGTTAACCCGGATTAGAAGGGTTTAATGAGGGCCATTGGCTTTTAATGAAGCGGCCATCTCAGATATAAATTAAGAGACAGCGGGCGTTGAAAGAGGCCACCCGTGCAGCTGAAGGCGCTAGATTTCTTTCTCTCTCTAAGGATTTCCCTCTCTTCTCCGCTCTCGGTGTGAGCTCCAAGCAATCATGACTGAGCAGCTCACGGACGAACAGATCTCTGAGTTCAAGGAGGCATTCAGCTTGTTTGACAAGGATGGGGACGGTAAGCTGCTTCGATCTTCGTTTTTTTTTGCCTGGTTTTGTGTTGGATCTGAAGGATCTATTGTGATTTTGATTTTTTTCAACTTCATCTGTTGGGATCTGGGTTTTTCAATCGGGATTTCGGTGATTTTGTAGACTTAGGAATGGCTCTGTCTGTTTTGGTGGAGATGGGTGGTTGCGGGGGATTATGCATTTGAATATTTGATTGATGTGCGTTCTTTCTTTTCTCTGCAAGAAATTAAATTAAAAGAAGGTAAAAATCTGACGGCTGTGGTAAGGATATGAGCTACTGATTATTGAAAGGATTCATGTAATAGAAATTAGAAATGCAATGGATCAATATAATCGAATGAAGGATAATTTAGGTACTAGGTTAAAGGATATGGTGTTTTGCGAAGGATAGGTTTTACAAAGTACTGAAGAAGGATGAATGAAGAACTAGACTCAAATTGTTTGGCTAATAATGAGAGGGGTGGAGAATAGGGTGATGACTATTAATTATTTAATTATGTCTTCATTAAATGCATTGACTATTTTTACTCCTCCAGTTGGAATAATTGGCATTATCATCAACACCATCGCCATCATTATGAACCTTATCCAACCATTTGAGTTGGCTTTCTAAATCCTCATCCTCTATCATTTCCTCTGAATATGTACATATTTTATTTTATTTATTATATGTAAGATTTAATCTCAATATCATCAAAATATGTTTAGAAGATATTTTCTATTAGAACAAGATACACACATACACTTAATTTTATATTATTAGTGGGGATGATAGAATGGGTTATGAAAGGATTTGATTCAGAGAAGTAAATATATGTTAATAATTTATACTTAATTTTGCAGGAGTATTTAAGAAATGAGAGGAATATTAATTACTTCCAAAATATGGAACTACATAATATAGTTGGCTCAAAACTTCCCTAAGAAATCATATATCAGGCTGCAGCTCTAGACATGGTTTATCCTAGTGGCTTGTCTGAATTATCCTTGTTTTAGGGCGATGCCTATACCTTTTGAAAAAAAATTATCAAAGCTTTAGTTTAGATCTATCCTGGGAATAAAAATTGGTATTTTCCTTCTAGAATTTCCTATGGATCAAAATCTAATGTGTCAAATTATGTGTACTCTGTTTGGCTGTTCTAAAATCAACCTGATATTTATTTTTTGGTCTCAAAAAGCATTTTCCATTGCTTTTAATTCTTGAATTGTTGTCCCTGCTCCACAGAGTTATCACTATTGTTAGAATCAGAGATATTGATATCATGATTACTTGAGATTCCAACGATTGAGATTTGAGCTCACAAATAGGGGCCAATTGGTTGTAAAGATAGTGAAGAATCTCAAGGGATTGGGTTTTCACGCTGCTAAAAAAAAATAAGTATTGGGTGTCGATTTAATAGGGTGAAAGGTCAAGGCTGAGAAAAATAAATGAATATTTATTGCTTTAATGTAGCGTATATGGAGAAAGGGAAGCATGGTAAGGAGAAAGATTGTGGTAGCAGGAAGGAGAAGGAGAAAGCAAACCTATTTGGGAATGAAAGCAGCCACACTGTTGGAGTCGATTCAATATTTCCATTAAAAGATAAAAGTGAAAGTAGTGAATACTATGTATCTTTTCTTCAGTATTTCAACTTGAATACAAGACACTTTATATGGAGTAAATAACATAATGTAGGATTCTAGAAGCAGAGTTTGCTTCACAGTATATGGTTGTGATTGAGTGGGTGTTATAGGGGAATGATTGAGATGAATGCATTATGTGGGAGGGAAAGTGGTTTTGTAGCTTATAACGTTGTGCTTCTTCTCGAATTGATGGTATGGTCATGATTAAGGGCCTGTTTGGGGCGGCTTATTGGTGTGCGGCATATGGAGGAGTAAATAACATAATGTAGGATTCTAGAAGTAGAGTTTGCTTCAGTGTATATGGTTGTGATTGAGTGGGTGTTATAGGGGAATGATTGAGATGAATGCATTATGTGGGAGGGAAAGTGGTTTTGTAGCTTATAACGTTGTGCTTCTTCTCGAATTGATGGTATGGTCATGATTAAGGGCCTGTTTGGGGCGGCTTATTGGTGTGCGGTTAGCGGTATGAAAACGCCGTTAAGGTGTTTGAAAAACGCGTTCGACACAGATTATTCCTGCCGCTCATACGCACTTACGAGATTTCGTTAACAAAAGCAGAAGCGGGGAAGGAGCCGCGTCCTAGGTCTGCTTCCCGCATTAGCGTGAAAAATTCCTTCGGTGCGCTCTTGCCCTCGCCCTCGCTGATTCCTTCGTCTCTGGTAGGAGCGGATCGACTTACCTTCCTCGATAATTTCTGGTTTCTGGTATGAGCGAATCAGAAGAATGAGAAACGGTAGTTTCAGTGGTCACTATAAACCGCGATCCCGTCGTCGCCTTCCCAGCTAGCTCTAATGGAGATAGTATCGCGAAAGTTCGTTCACGAAGACAATCATTTTGGGCGAAACCGGGAGGGATCGCGAAGGTTCGTTCACGAAGGCGATCGATTTTGGGCGAAACCAGGAGGGGGAGTGAAGCCAGGGTTTGGGCTGAGATGAAAATTTTGAGAAAATAAATATTAATTATAATAGATAAATTTACAGATGTATCAAAATTTTAATTATATCATAATTTTAAGAATCTATAATTAATTATATCAAAATTTTAATTATAATTAATTTGTATATCATCAATTTAATTATAATAGATAAATTTGTATGTAATTACTTAATATTTGATCAATGAATAAAAATATATCAAAATTTTATGTTATTTAATAAATTTCTTAGAAATTCTTCATTTATGTAATTAATAATTGATTAATCAAAATTTATTAGCTAATAAGTTAATAGTTTATAAAAAAAAATAAATGATTACATATAGTTATGTTACAAACAGTTTCACCAAACAGAGGCAGAATAAACATTTATCCAACAACAACTATCAATAAGCTATTCTAAATAAGCTCCCATAAACAGCAAACCAGCTTATTTTGATAATCTGCAAATTATCAAATTATCAGAATAATTTGCTTATCAGCAGATTATAAATAATCAACAACTGCTCCAAACAGACCTTAAGAGTCTGTAGCTTGTTGCATAATTGTTGGTCATGGAGAAACCTTTTATAAAGATATTAAGAAGTTGATGTTGGATGTTATGCATGGTGATGATGTTGCTTTAATGTATCTCGGATAAAGTGGTTGTATCTCAGATAAAGTAGTGGTCAATTATGGTATGATTTATTAGTGCATGAAAGAAAACGATATTGGTGAAAACGTTATTGGCAAAGACATGGTTAGAGATAGTGTCATAGTGGAGTGGTGTGGCAATCGGTAGAGTAATTTAAATTTCTTGGAGAAGTTGGTGAAGCCAAACAATGTCTGTGGTTGCTCCTGTAAGAGCCCTATATTCTGCTCTTTTATTTTTTTTGTTCTTTCTAAATCTCATTCATGATTCCTGCATGCGCCTCTTGAGGCTGCTCACTCATGTCCCGGTGCCCTCTCTCAACCGCGTTTCAATGCATCTGAAATATATCATAGCAAGTAAAAAAAAAAATAATAATACATTTAATTTGCAATCGAAATGCATATTCCAATGACTTTCATCTTACAAGTATTTTTGTTTTGAAAGCATCCAACCAAACAGACCCATAAGGAATTCACTAAATAAATTGGAAATTTACATACATGCCGCACCAATCTTATGCATTTATATATCCGACACCTGAACCTTCACATTTAGGTACATAACACTCAAATTTTTAACATCACATCAAAAATATCATAAATGTAAATAGCAAACTTTAGGTGTTATATATATAAGTATATAATAATTGTGCGATATGAATGTAAAAGCCTCCTAAATAAATTTGTATGAGGAATGAACCATCTCCATACATTGTGTTTTTCCAAACATAAATCTGGAGCAATAAATCAATAGAGGGTGATTGATGTTTTCTCATACAAACGAATTTCTTGGAAACCCGAATTTAACTCTTAAAAATTCTGTGATGTATAAGATGGAAAATCACTTACAATTTCTCAAAATTTTCGAACTGTCAGGCTGCATCACCACCAAGGAGTTGGGTACTGTAATGCGTTCGCTCGGCCAAAACCCGACCGAAGCAGAACTTCAAGACATGATCAATGAGGTCGATGCAGACGGCAATGGAACCATCGATTTTCCCGAGTTCCTCAACCTCATGGCTCGAAAAATGAAAGACACCGATTCCGAGGAGGAGCTCAAGGAAGCCTTTAGAGTCTTCTACAAGAAGGGACATTTACTTGCAGACCACACAATTCTTACATATTTAGTTATCTAACACTAAACATTCATATTTGCATGCTTACCACTCAAATCTTTAATATCAAATCAAAAAAACCACCATCACTACTTCATGCAGAGAAGGATTGTATGATACCAAGCTGTTATGTCTCTATGAAAATTCCTATAAAGGAAATACAGAGTACAGTTGGGAGATTTGAAATATCCTAAAAACTTTTATTTTGTTTGTCCTTTCTAAATCTCATTCATGATTCCTGCATGCGTCTCTTGAGGCTGCTCACTCATGTCGAGGTGCCCTCTCTCAACCGCGTTTCAATGCATCTGAAATATATCATAGCAAGTAAAAAAAAAAATAATAATACATTTAATTTGCAATCGAAATGCATATTCCAATGACTTTCATCTTACAAGTATTTTTGTTTTGAAAGCATCCAACCAAACAGACCCATAAGGAATTCACTAAATAAATTGGAAATTTACATACATGCCGCACCAATCTTATGCATTTATATATCAGACACCTGAAGCTTCACATTTACGTACATAACACTCGAATTTTTAACATCACTTAAAAAATATCATAAATGTAAATAGCAAATATTAGGTGTTATTTATATAAATATATAATAATTGTGCGATATGAATGTAAAAGCCTCCTGAATAAATTTGTATGAGGAATGAACCATCTCCATCCATTGTGTTTTTCCAAACATAAATCTCGAGCAATAAATCAATAGAGGGTGATTGATGTTTTCTCATACAAACGAATTTCTTGGAAACCCGAATTTAACTCTTAAAAATTCTGTGATGTATAAGATGGAAAATCACTTACAATTTCACAAAATTTTCAAACTGTCAGGCTGCATCACCACCAAGGAGTTGGGTACTGTAATGCGTTCGCTCGGCCAAAACCCAACCGAAGCAGAACTTCAAGACATGATCAATGAGGTCGATGCAGACGGCAATGGAACCATCGATTTTCCCGAGTTCCTCAACCTCATGGCTCGAAAAATGAAAGACACCGATTCCGAGGAGGAGCTCAAGGAAGCCTTTAGAGTCTTCGACAAGGACCAGAATGGATTCATCTCAGCCGCTGAGCTCCGCCATGTCATGACCAACCTCGGCGAAAAGCTCACCGATGAGGAAGTCGATGAGATGATTCGTGAGGCCGACGTCGACGGCGACGGCCAAATCAATTATGAGGAGTTTGTTAAGGTCATGATGGCCAAGTGAAGGAATAGTCATCTTGAATGAGATTATGATGTATGGATGTGTTATTTCCAAGTAGTTGGCTTTGTTGTTTCCTTGAGCTTGTATTTTCATTGTTCTCTTAACCTATGGTTTCCATGAATCTCTCAATTGATTTCATTTCTATCTATTTGCTAGACTTCGATTTGGTTATGACTATTCCTTAGAAATTTATATGATAAGAAGTAATATTTATGATCGTGTCCGTTAAAATGTGTTCTGAATTCGAGCATTATATTGAAAATTATTAAGGCTGTGTGTAAAATGAAAAGGTGGACCAGGCATAAGATGAGGCTTACAACAGATTATGCATTGTGGAACATAGTTGTAATGTAAATTTTTCAAAACTATGGTAATGTTTATATTAAGGATAAACCTTAAGATCAAAGCTTCAAATAGTTATGAATGAGCTTAAAAGAAATATTTAAAATGAAGTACAATGAAGTGTTTTGTTTACATTTTATATGGTTTTTAATTTGGGCAATTTAGAGTAATTTGAAGCTGTGTATATCATAATAAGGAGATCATTAGGTTGAGTGAGACTGATATTTATTCGAATGTTAATTAAATGTCTTATTGTTGTATTGATGACCTGACACACATAGAGGTAATTTGCAAGCAGGAGGGGGCATTAAAGTATTTTTATGTGGAGAAACTCGAAAAGGGAAAAAATCACTGGGCTTAGCCCATCCAAAACATTTCATTATAAACTTGTAATTACAAAGGATGTATAATTTTCCGACAACTGGAAGAGTAGAGTTTTAACTTCACATCAAATAACTTTATTTTATACAACATACAAAAAGTTTTAGGAGTTCGGAGAAAATCACAGTGTTTTTAGTATGCTAGTCATAACTCGTAAGCAATTGTCGCCGAGAGTTATCATTGGATCTTCAATATGACGTTATTTGTTGCACCGTATTTGAGATACATAGTTATGCCATAATGTTTGCTGAAAGTGGTAGGTAGGGGCAACCGACGGGCAGTGTTCGATGAAAACTGATAGACGGTGGGTGATCGACAAACGACCAGTGGGTTGTGGTCGACGTTGGTCATCAACTATGAAGAGTAAAAGTTATCGTCAGAGTTTTTAGTTTATTACAATATTGGAATTCAACTCTTTCTTCTCCCCTCTTCGAGCGAAAAGAGTGAGTTTACTTATAGCCCTTAGGGGAGGGGCATTTTGTTCATTGACGATTAACTCTTGTAACCACCTTATAGGACTGTATATATTGATCCCCCGTAATCATAGGAGTTTTTTATGTTTTAAGAGCTTTAATTAACTTGAAATTGAGTCATATTAGGCGCGTTAGATTCCTCTTGTCGAGATGCTCGGTTTCACTATATGTATGTCATATTTAAAGTTCATTTGTTCATCAGATTGACGACCCAAAGGTCCCAAGCCAGGCTTGATTAGTCTCATATTAAACCAATTTTGACTTAATTTGGTTTGTTCTATTGAGACAGTCACTTTGACCGTAAACTTTTGCTGAAACCAGTCCTCTGAATGATTTTGAATTTGAATCATCCATATTTATTATTTAACAATGCTTCAAAATTTCTGTCAGGCGATGACAATTTGTTGATGACTCAATGGTTAGATCATTATGATATGTAATACAAAAAAAAAGGTTATAGATGGAGCGTTAACATATTAGTCATAATATGATATTTATTTTGAAGAAAAAAAATTTAAAGCAATAAGCTCATATTAAGACACTACCATTGATGCTTTAGGAAGTAATGCATGATGCATAAAAAAGATTAATAATTTTTTCTTCAAACGTTCAGCCAAAAGAATTGTAATAACTAAACTTAGCCTGACACAAATGTGCATGTTATGATATATTCATGATATAATTACGAAGAAATGTGAGCAAAACAACTATATATGAGTGTGGACAACTATGCAATATCATAATAAAAATAGCAGAGTTAAGTAAATTAACGCATAGACAAATGTGAAGATGAAATTAATTTGTAAAACATAGCGAAGTTAGAAGTTATTTATACTACCAATTAGAATTACTCATCTTCATTATTTTCATAAGGAATAATTGTATAATGCCTCATATATCACAACTAAACAACAATTTCTTACAAAAATAATTAAAATGTTAGCCAAAAAGGTGTATTCTGTAACATTTTAGAAAAATGTTGATCTTTATAAATCATATGCTTGATCTCATAAGATTCAGTTTAATTATCATTCCAAAATGCACATCTGCTGTTACATTTAAGTGATATTTGAGCTGATATTCACAGATATTGTTTAGCTCTTACCATATTTCACCATAAATTCTAGAAAGGAAATAAGGTCCTGAAATTCATATGTATATTATTGGGATTATGATTTGCATACATCTAAATGGAGTTCCTCTTTTCTGGTAACTTCTAGTATATTTTTTTTCTTATTTAAAACAGATCCACATCCTTCTTCCAACAGCACTTTGTTATGTGCATGTAAATATGAAAATTTGGGTTTTGGATGTGTGAATACATAAGAATTGTGTGGTGTGCTCGAAAATGGCCCAAAGTTCTAATATTGTTAAGTTTCACCAACTAGTTGGCCTGGTCTAATGTTCTTTGTCTTATGCATACTCGATTTTATAATTTGCTGCCCATGGCATCACTTTATTTAAAAATTGGAAACAATACAAATTATATTTAGGTTTTTTTTTTTTCTTTCTCTTGTTTGAAACACTTCTTCGATATAAGAATGAAAATTTTTAGTTTTTAATTAAAAAAATGATTTTATTCTAATTTAATTAGTATGACACAAACTTTACTATCGTGATATGAACTGACGACGATTGTCACATGATGTTGGAATCTAAATGTAAATTGAAGGAGGTCTATAAGACTTCCGATTTGCGTTTCTCATACTTCCGGTTTTCTATATGTTCAAATTTTGTACATGGAATCTTACGTTTGAGTTAATCTTATACACTGCAATAATCATGTGGTATTAAATTCAAAGTTGTGATTTTACATTTGTTATTAGAGTTAATCTTATACACTGCAAAAATCATGTGGCATTAAATTCAAAGTTGTGATTTTACATTTGTTATTAATCAATCATGAATGGATTGATTAATTAAAGGTTGAATTTCATGAGGTTGTTGGACGTTTTTGTTGCAACTTGAATGAAGTTGTTAGGCTAGCAAGCCTTACTTGGGAGGGACGTGCTCATTGTGGCCTTGATGATGCCCACAATACCGCTCAACTTCTAGTTCAGCTTATGCAAGATGGTTCTTATGTTGCATTGTAATGCTTCAATGGGAGGAATCTGTGCCTACTTCATATGATCTTAGATTCAAAATTCCTTTAAGAAAAAAAAAAAAAAAAATTATGCTGAATTTTGAAATAATATCATTTGTATGCGACATCACTCTACAAAAGTCAATTTAATTGTTCAATATTAAAAATATATGATCATGCCATTTGCATTATGTGTGATAGTGAATTTACTCTCTTAACTACCAACTAAAAGACCTATAATAAGTGTTTATTCTTTGTGCTCTACATTACATGAGTGTGAAAAATAATTTTCTATTGTTGTATTTGTTTTTTACATTACATTTATCTTTATTTTTATTTTGATTTATTGAGATTCAAATCATAGATATAGATAAAAAATAATAGCCACAACCAAGTAATTAATGGTTATTGCATTGCAATTTAATTATCATCAAAGAATCTCTTATGAGGAAAGAATAACTTTATAAATAAATGAAATTTTTTTTGTTGCCTAACCACAAGTTTGGTTTTGAGTATATTAGTTTTATGATATCTTCCATCAAGGTTCAAAATTGCATGACTAATTGTTTTTTTTTTTTTTAATTTGTTTCACTTTGGGACATAATTTTGGCGAAGTTTGTAAGCTATTGAAGAGCAGACACACGATAATGTCCCAATTTTATCTAGCTTGGTTACAAACTTTAGGTGAGATTTTGTAGTGGATGTAGATTTCAATTGAATGGTGGCTGGGTTTAGAATGTACCAGGATGTAAAAAGTGTAATTGTAAGTATATAAGAATGTAAAAATCGAATATAGAAGGAATAAGGATAACTTCCTTATATGATAGTACATAAGCCAATACATTAGCTACTAAATGCCAAACTAAAGATATGAACAATTATTCACTTCAAATATTTCATCCCACAACTCAAGTTACAAAAGACTCTTGGACTAAGATTTATTAAGGAAAAAAATAGAGGAAAAAAGTGAGGAAACTAAAAGAGGGGATTATAGCTTTAATGAAGGAAGAGTTCCAACCATTCTTTTCTAATACTCCCTTCATGTCAAGGTGAGGCATACTTATCCAAAAGAGATAAATAATAATAAAAAAAAGAAATGATAAATAATTAAATATACATTGCATTATCATATTCTAAATTTTGAGCTATTGTAGTTAGGTATGTTTTTTCGGTATCTTCCTTGTGCGCAGGATACAAGAGAGGGTCACATCCAACACTCCTGACCATTTCTAAGGGGATTTAATCCCAAGTGTTCTTGAAAGATGAAGAACAAGCCTGAATTTGTTATTAATTTGTGACATTAAAGACTAATTACAACAATTTAATATAATTTATGTCCCTAATATGCTAGTACCACATTCATAGCAGAATTTTCAGGTCCCTCTCAGATAAGGGGCTCCACATTCATCACAAAACTTTGCAGAACTTGTGGGCAGTAAGTGTAAGCGGCCGCCTACATGAACACCAGAAAGTGATTGCATGTAGGGCATATGTTGAGGCATGGCAGGCGGTAGATGTTGATGAGCAATATGAGGCATATGAGATGAGTGCGTGCATTGATGCATGCTAGGGAAGTGTGGTGCTAGATGGCTTTGTTGCATTGTTGGATGACGTGCTTGCGGTAGAGTACTAAATTGAGTTGGGTGTTGCAGTTGTTGTATGTGTTGTTTATATGAAAGCTGCATCTGACCTTGGTGCTCATTTACCAGACGGAACCCTGCAACACTAGTTAATGGACAAGAACTGTCGGTTGCTGAAAAATGCCCCAAGACTGATATTAGAGATAGATTGTGATTGAATCCGTCTATATATTTATACAACCAGCTCAGGAAATCTTGTCCTGGTCTCAAGAGAAGTGGCCAATTCTCTTCTCTTAAGGCTACAAGATCCTTTTCTAGAAAATTTTTTGGCAAGTTTTCTGTACAATCCACCAGCTGCTCCACGAGCTACCCCAATTGTCTTCCCACGAATCCCCGCCAAAGAAGAAAGGCAGATGTTCACCTCATTAACAAAGGTCTCATACAAATTTGACACGTACATCAGGGGCAACATGAACCTTGGATCACCTTCATAACAAACTTCATGAAGCTTTATTTTGTGCTTATCATGGCCATGGTCATAGTCAGCATCACAAGTCTCGGCCACTTCTACCATGTTCTCTTTGACAAAATGTTCAACAATAATTTGCAAGAATTTAGCCCTTGTAGCCTCAATTGGCAAAACATCATCCACTATCAGAATGTTATAACTAGGAGTGGAGGGCCTGCCATCACTCTCAAGACCAGATTGCTCTTCATCATGGAGAGCTTGCAATGAATTCCTATATGAATCATGTATGTAGTCCTAATAAGGTTTAAGATTGGGTTTTTTTTTTATGCTAGGGATTAGAGAAAGAACTCAACATTTGTTGGGATTTACAACAAAACAATCCTAAGCTGAGGGGCTTTTCCTCTAACACAAAATCTTGGTTCTTAGATCTCTATCATCCCAATCTAAGGGGGCTCTAAGAATGAAAAATGCAAGAGTTTTAAGGGATTTCATGTTTGTGGCGTTTGATGAAACATTCTCTTTGCTTGCTCCTTGCTCCTACCTCGCATCGGTGAAGCTTGCTTTCTCTTCTTGTCCAAAGAAGGAAAAAGCTCTCCCCTTTTTTTAGGAGAGACAAAGCCTTTTCTTCTTCCAAGTGGGATGATGCTCTCCTTTTACAAAGGAAATGAAGTTTCTTTTTTTTCCATGAAGCTCCTACCAAAGCCTTCCTCACCCTTTTCTTAAGAGATATGATGAGAAAAGCAAAAAAAATCCTCACAGATTATGAAGAAGAAGCAAGGAAGAAGATAAAGAAGAAGATGGAGAAGTTCTCTCTAAGTTTTCTGAGATCTCCTCCCTTCCTTTTTTTTTTTTTGCTCGAATGACCAACCCCTCCTCTTCTCCTCTCTATTTTTTCTTTTCCAATGCTTCAGAAGTATCATCATTGTGTTTTTTTACTTCCCCAGGAAAATCTTGAGCTATCCCGAGGTAATCCTGCGAAAACAGCTGTCTATGGGGCTAAATTATGAAATCCCACACTACTTGGTGCCCCTAACACATGCACAGAGGCTGGGCACATATGCTCCCAACATTTTGTTTCAGCGCTTGATTTGGGTGCATATGCACACATGCTTTTGGTGCATAAATATTGTTCTCTCAGGTTGGAAGCATTAGAACAACCCAAATTTGGGCTCATAGGCACCTTCCCCACTGCTAAGCGGGTGCTTTGGCGCCTATGCACCCAAGTTTGGGTGAATGTGCACCCATAACACAAGGGTGAGATGAGTTATTCCTCAAGCAAGGTCCCAAGGTTCGTGCTGGTAGGTTTTTATGCATTTTCAGATTTTATGGATTTGTAAGCTATGAAAAACCACGTATCACTTGAAATACATCCTCAAAAACTTAAAAATGAACATTTTAGATGTTTCACTTCAGAAATTTTAGTTTCAACATTCATTATAGACCCTCGCGCAGGTACACCGGTCTAAACCTTAATTTTTTTCCAGAACACTCTTAGGATTGTTTGATGA